TTTAATAAGACTGACCTGCTTATTGCACCTAAGGCTATATCAGGTAACTGTGTCCCCACATTACAGATATTTGTGTTACAGAATGCACCTTTACATGACCATAAAATTCATGTGGACCATAAATTCACTCTCATGGAAACTAGAAATTTTTAAACACATTGCAAAACAACTTAGATAGCAGTCAGTATAGTGACCGGCTATGGGCTGGATGACCAAGGGGTCAGAGTTCAAGTCGCAATGGGAACAAGAATTTTCACTTCTTCATGTCATTCAGATCGACCCTGGGGCCCACCCAACCTCCTATTCAGTGGGTACCAGGGGCTCCTTCCCCAGGAGTAAAGTGGCCAGGGTATGAAGCTGACCACTCACCTCCAACTAACACCAAGGTCAAGAAAATGTGGGTCTATACATCACTCCCCGACACGTCTTCATGGCATAGTGCTTAATTAGTTAAGCACAGGGACAACTTTACTTTTTTACCTTTTTGCAAAAGGATAATGGTTGCAGCCTAAACTAATCTATTTAAGAAATCCGAATCACATGTGCATAAGTTGGTAATTTAACAAGATATGTAGTTAGTCTGTGCACATGTGACAGGGACAGAGATGGCTGTACAGTGGTTGCTATTCCCATCTTATTTTTACTTAGTCCATTGCACAAGTACACCCTTATTTAAGATGTCTGGAAAGAGTCCATCATATTCAAAACTGATAAGTTTACTTCTACTTACTATTATTCTTTCTGATTCATAAAAAAGTTTTTCTTATTTCAATTGTGAACCAAAAAAAGATTGTGTAGGAACACATCTCCACCAATTGGAGAAATGAGTTTCAGGTTACAGAATTTCACAGTATGAACACATTTTAAAGAACACCTCTGCCATAATATAAGGGCATATTGTGTTTACTCTTGAGGGTTTAGAAAATTTAAACTTAATGGTGATGAAACATAAACAGTTTAATTTCTTCACATAAATTTTGCTGTAGTCAGTTCTAGCATCAAAGAAGCCAGGATAGCTCAGTTGGTATAGTAATGGACTATGGGCTGGACAGCTGGTGTTCAATTCCCAGGAGAGGCAAGATTGTACTCTACTTCACAGCATCCTGACTGGCTCTGGGGCCCATCCAGTCTCTATCCGATGGGTACCAGGGGATCTTTTCCCTGGTGGGTAAAGCAACCAGGGAATGAGGTTGACTGCTCACCCACATCTAGTGCCAAGGTTAAGAATGGTGGTGCTATACCTCCACTCCTCAACACGTGTTCATGGTGCAGTGCTTAATTGCTTCGTTAATTAAGCACAAGGATGACTTTACCTTTACCAGTTCTTGCATCATGCTACTTTCTTTGCAAAGAAGTATGAACCCATAAACTCCTTCCCATTCAAATATTTCTCTTGTTTTACTTGGCTCCCAACTTCATCCATTGACATACTCTATTTACTATAAATGTGCGAAGTATGTAAATTCAGTTATTTAAATATAAGTGCCTCAAGTTTATGACAGCGTAATGCAGATATATAACTTTCAAATTGGCAAACTGTTTTGAATTTCATCAGCAATGTTTCACAACTGTGAAAATAGGAAATATCACCCAAATAGAAGGACATCTTACATCCATTAACATATGCCAAGTGTTTAGCTTTATTTTGTCAAATTAATTCACTGTTAATAACATTTACGAAATTTTATTACTTTTTCTTTCAATTCAAAGAATGTGCTCCATAAAAAATACTGAAGATTTATTGCAAGCTAAAGTAAAGAACAAACCAGACAAGTAATAATAGTATGAAAGTAAAGTTCCCTATACAATATTTCCAGAAGGTAACAAATGTGTTATGACTTTGTGAGTACTTGTACTGCCTTAATAGACTCAGAGATGTTGTGTATGATCAAGGCATGCTAATGGGAACACACCTTATTCAATGGGATCTGTCCCTTCATTCATTTTCACTTTCAATAACTGTGTATGATACTGAAAAGTTTATTTTAAATAGTATAAAAGATGAAGAAATTTTTCAGATTTTTTTTTTTTTTGCCAGTTTTCTGGAGCAATGTTGCAAAGAAGTTGATTACAATATCTGTAAGAGATAGTTGCATGGAACAATTAATGGAAGGCTCAAAACATCCATGGGTAATACTGAAAGTATAAATCATAATAATTTTTGTATCTCGAATTAATATTGTTCATCATGAAGTCAAATTACAGATATGCAGTAAATTTGTATATGACATTGGTATTCCTTTGAAAGTCTCAAGAAATTTATTGCTGTGTAAACATAACTGTTATCTCAGATATTGGCAATAATCTTGAGTCTCTTGAACCATGTTTGAGGAACTGAATCTATTTTCACCATCAGATATAAAGAAGAAAATGTTCATTCTCAGTTGAACCCATTAGAAAAGGCCTCTCTTGATCGCTGGTCCAGTGACTGAGACTTCCTTTATGGATCCAAGTGAGTAGGAAACAGAGCCATTTTTTGAAACAGTGGCCAGTGACATGTTTATCATAACACATTATCAACAGAAGCATTCAGATGTAGCTTATTTCCATATGTTTCAAAATATTTTTCAAATTAAGTGCTGAGATATTCTTACCTGTAAATGTAGCTACATTGTCTCCATCAGTTTATACATTTGTACATTAAGTGAAGCTAAATTGTAACATGAAGTTCAAACTCTAAAAGAGAAAATCAGAAATATGTTATATGTAACATTTCCTAAATTATAACTTAAATGTTTATGATCATTGAGTTTCTAAACTTGGTCCATTGTCTAGTATTATGAAAGAAGGCACCATTTTGGAAATTGGATATATTTCTATTCTTAGTTGTAAGAGTGGGAAGGGATCCACTCAGCCCCCCCTATGGTTTCATCTCAGGATGGAAACAGATCCAGTTTCAGAAATGTTGTGTTCATTTAGAACCAAATTCCATTAAAAATCAATTCTGAAAGTTGATAAATAAAAAAAAAGGGAACTGTATAAATCGTTGGGACCATATCTAACAGAATATTAATACATAAAAGACATTAATTCAAATTTTCGCTTCCTGAAACATGAAGTTTATCTAAATAATATTTAAAAAATAAATCTTTACAACCAAGAAAATATACTGCATTTCTAATACAGAGACCAACTGGTTAAAGCTGTTTAGGGAAATAGTAGCTGTTTATTCTGTGAATCATACAAAACACACAAACATATTCTGTGGGCAAAATTCAGAGGTTTTAATATAAAATCTATCCATTGAAGAGACAATGCATACATAATCTGTCATATATAATTCATATATGACAGATTATGTAAGACTGTTAATTATTAAAATTTGACTTTAAGATATAACTTCACGTGATTCCATTTCAAAATCTATACCTTCAAGTAATGTATCTTTTTTTAAAAAAGTGTCTATTCAGAATACCTGAAATTGCTTTAAATTCTAACAAATTGTGAGAAACTGGAAGGTTAATCTAGTGTAATGGCACTCATTAATTCAGAAGATCTCCAAATTACTGAGACTCATCATTTCCATACATTCCACGTAATGATCATGTGCTACTACTGATGAGTCAATAAAGTATCTAGTCACAAGCTGTACAACCGGTCTATCAGGAACAGAGATGTGTTTGATAAAAACAGATTGATTGATGAACAATGTTAGGTTAAATGAACTACCACCATTATCATGTCAGTTTATCACCTGTCAGCTAGAATTAAGTAACTAAGATATAAAAACATCTGTAAAAGAATGTATAAAGAAAGAACTCTTCTCATTCACACGCTCATTTTTATTTGCAGCCATTTGTCACTGTTGTTTAGAAATTAATGATCCAGTTACATTACTATGAGGTTTATTTGCATGTAAATGGTGATGAAGTTTAAATTAGAGTTTAAAATGCCTCCTTTACAAATATTAGGCTGTGAGATGGTTGCAGAAAACATAACAGCAATTAGGTTTTAAATGTAAATGTCATCATACCTTTTACAAGATATGTAAGTGTAGGTAAAGAAATACTATCTTATGTGTGTGTTGTGAGAAATGAGACAATTATTAGTTAAAACAGAAAATATAATGAACGTTATCTAAATAAAAAGAGAAAATTATGTGTAGTTTTGTGTTGAAATGAAATTTTAAAATACTAAGAACATTAATCAGTGTTAAAGTTTATCCTCTATTACAATATAAAGAATTTTAAAAAGTGGAATTAAAAATTATAGTAATCATATATTGGAACTGTTAGATTTTTTTACCACATTTCCTTCTTACATATTCAAAATATGTGGTCATAATTCTGTTCTGTCATCTGAATATCATGGAGGCCCACTAGAGACCTTTGTTCAGCAGTACACAACAACAAAAAAATTAATGCACTCTTAATGCCAACAAATGGACTGCATAGTTTAATTAACAGTGCTAGTCGGTACAGTGACTGGCTATGGGCTGGACGACCAAGGGGTCGGATTTCGAGTCTCCACGGGGTCAATAATTTTCCCTTCTCCACATTGTCCAGACAGGCTCTGGGGTCCACCCAGCCTCCTATCCAATGGGTACCAGGGGCTCTTTCTGGGGGGGGGGATAAAGCAGCTGGGGTGTGAAGCTGGCCACTCACCACCAACTGGTGCTGAAGTCAAGAAAATGTGGAGCTATAAAATCCACTTCCCCATATGTGTTCATGATGTAGTACTTAATTAGTTACGCACAGGGTCAACTTAACCTTTTTACCTCAACAGTGTAAGTTATTAGCATCAAAGAGGCCGCACCATAGCTCAAGCAGTTAGTCGCTGGCTTCCCGCCGCGGCGGCCCGGGTTGGATCCCGGGTCTGGTCAAGTGGGATTTGTGGTGGACAAAGTAGTGCTGGGGCAGGTTTTCTCCGAGTACTTCGGTTTCTCATGCCAATCTTCATTCTACCAATTGCTCCACAATCACCCTCACCTATTATCTGGGGCTGGTACAATAGGCCAGGAGTGGCCGCAGTGCAAGGGACTTAGTCCCACACCACTAGTAAAAAGAAAAAAAAATAGCATCATATGAAGTGGGTAAGATTTGAGAATTTCACAGCAGTGACATTTTGGCTGTGGTCTTCTGTGTAGTCTCATAGGTGATTACCAATATTTTCGAGGAACTAGCAGCTTCCATCTTCAAGGCAGACATCCCTGAAGATGGTGACAGCCAATTTCCTCTGAAATGTTGGTCATCACCTATCACACTTCTTGGTGTCATTGTCTGGAGGGTCACTATATGAATATTTACCACTATGAAAACCTCAAATCTCATACAAGAAAGAGTAATTTATCTATTAGGAGCACAAAAGGTTATTGTATATTTTGAGATCAGTGGCGTTACCCACCCTAGGCACAAGAAGAAGAAGACGTACAAGTGACCCAAGTTTGCTCTGCTCACTTGCCAACATTGAGCATATAAGTGTGCACACGTGACACAGGCCTGCATCTGACAAATTTGACAAAACGTACGCCACCTGCTGCTCTGAGGCATTGCTCAACTGCTCAACTGTGGCCATCTGCTCATCCAAATGGCATATCAGGTTTAGTGACTCATTTCGTAAACCATCTCCAGCTCAAAAATATAAAAAAACACAAGTTTCAAACTTAAGATACAATAAAATAAACGGATTTTAAAAAGCTGTAACATTGTTAGCTTGTTTGCATTGAAATGATGGAATTAAAATAAAATATTGAAGCAGATTATGATCAGCAGAAGACACAAAAGCTTTTATGAAAACTTAAAATGATGTAAGGACTGAAGTAAAAGTACAATCACATGATACTCTGAAGATCACAGTCTTCTGGGATGGGATGCTATGTAGTTTGACAGGTAGGTTCCATTGTACTACTGTATTATCCCAGCCTGATGCTATGTATCATCTGTACTTAACAAGAGATCTAAAAATAAGTGAAGAAACAAATAACCTCAATAAACCCAAAATATCTGAAGGAGTAACATAAATTGTACAAGATATCTTTCATCTCTTTTGGTATGCAAAGATTTTGTGATCTGAACAGAAGTGTTCGTGCATGCATTCATACATATACAGAAAATCTTTTGCATTAGCATTAATTAATTTAATGAGAGTAAGTCATCTCATAGCAAATATGCAACAGTTACTAATGACAGCATCAGATTATCTTCATCATGTCTAAGCACTACAACACCCTCGATTATAAAACTAGAGACTTGCAGTTCACTAACAAACATGCCTACACTTCCTTCTATATTTCTCTTTTCATCTCCATCACTAATAACAGCTTCTGTTTCCATCATGGTAGAAGGTATACTGTCATCATTATCTTTGTGTTTCACTTTAGACACAGTGAAACTTGCATCCCAAACAGATGACTGAGCCTAAAAAGAAGAAAACAATGGAAACATTCAGAATAGTGTACTGCTGAATCCATTCACTTTCCTTAAATAAAAGTTTTTGCAGAGGCTTTGGAGGTACAGAGGAAGGGGCTGTCACTCATGAAACGCTCCCACTACCTACTGTAAATACAATGTTGCACTCCATATATCCCTTCCTTCCTAAAATTATATACACCTTCAAAGTCTCTGCTTTATATTGCCACATCTAACCCCAACCTTTCCATTGGTACATTGACTGTTTACCTCAGCTTCACTGACTTGTGGTTGCTCAAAAAAATGGCTTAGGAGATCTAAATGGTCCATATGTTTGTTACAATTTAGTTCCGACGGTTCTTCAAGTATGTTGTCAGAAATCGTAAGTATTCCCCATTCATGTTCACCTACTTCGTACAATTTATATTTATCTTCCAATATCTTAAACACTAAGCGTGCTAATTGCTTTCCGGAATTGGATTATCACAGTTCGCGCTTTAATTGTGAATCGTATTTAAAATACTGTAACGTGAATGGCCAGAGCGTATCTAGGCAACCAATCAGTATGTAGACTGCGGCGCAGGCGTAATGGCGTCGC